CTTATTTGGAAGTAGGGTTGTTACAGATGTAATTAGTTAAAATAAGGTCATGAAAGGGTAAAATGGGCCTCTAATGCAATATGACCAGTGTTCTTATAAAAAGAAGAAACTTGGCCACGGAGAGAAGACCACTGGATGTTGGAGTTATGCTCCTACAATCCAAGGATCCAACAGAATCTTGGAGAGAGACCTGGACACACTCTTCCCTAAGTGCCTACAGGGTGTTCACCTTGCAGCTGCTCGCTGCATGTGGCTTATTTGAAGACTGTTTTGCTTAACTGCTATGTCAGGTATCAGGAAAATTATGCATGGACCTCTTTTTTTGCTCATTAGTGTTTGTGTATTTATTCTGTGGCCCAGGACAACTCTTCTTCTTTCAATGTTCAGCAGAAAATACAAAAGTTGGACATCCCTGGAAGGAGCATGGCCCTGCCAACACCTTGGTCTTGGACTTCTACCTTCCAGAACTATATAGACAATCAATTTCTGTTGTTCAAATCACTTAGATTGCAGTAGTTTTTTAGAGTAGTCTCAGAAAACTAACACAAAAGTTAGATCTATTTTTCACTTCTAGTAGTTACATTCAGATCAAAATCTGGAGGTAAGTTTAATAATATACCATTTCTTGCTTTGTAATCCTAGTTATATTGATCAGCTACATAAAATTTACTATTTTATGAGTGCTAGCTTTACTTTTTCTGTGCAAGTGCCAGAAGTTTTTAAAGAATCATCAAAATGTTATTAAAATATGTCAGTGTTTTAACCTTTAGTAGACATTTACATAGCCTACTTAAGATTTTGGTTGTTCTTTTCCCTTCTGAATAAGAAGCAAGGTTGAATCTTTTTGCTACTGTCTAAGCTCTATATGAACTCTGTTGGTTAACCCCTTTGCGTTCCTTAATTCGATGTAATCCAAACATTACTAATTAACGCAGAATGTGTATGCTACAAATGGGTATGAGGGTAACCAGATACTGACTCTTTTGGTCCACAGAGTGGCTGGAAGCTTCACACTGATTATTGCTTTCCTGGCAGCAGGGAACTTCCTCCATATATCCAAGAATGCTGGCCAAATAATATTTTCAAATATGTTCACTGAATTAATATATTGCTTATTTCAGAGTAGACAGTTTAATAGTGCTAAACCCATAATTGACCTAATCAAATTAGAATATTAATTAAATAGCAAAATAGCCTTCTAGAAGCTGAAGTTAGCTGTGTTTGCCTTTACTCCATGTCCTTTGAGTGGACTGTTGTCATTGACCCTAATTTTCTCTTGGGAATAGAGGCAGGAGCAAACCCCAGAGCATAGCAGGCCTGAGTTCCAGGCTGTGATGCCCTCTCTAGACTGCAGCTCCTCATCTGTTAAATGTGAGGCTTGGATTAGTTGATGTCTGGCAGGTAAAGGATTTTATTTTAATGAAAAATATTTCTTTATTCACTGATTTATTATCAAGTTTGTCAGTTCTTTCTAAACAAATGCTGTTTGTTATTCAGGGTGCTTACAGTTTTCCTTTCATGTCCTTTATTTTATAATTAGCTCTTTGTTTTCAAACGTTAGACAGCAATGATTCTAAAAATAGTTGATGGGTCTAGTAGAAAATGTGACACTATCTCCTCTGATAATGAATGGAAACTTCATAATACTTTAAAGTGTTTTACCCTTAAAGAGGAAGCTCTGTGTGGGAGGGTAGGAGGAGGTTACAATTGAAAAGTAATGTGTTTCTGTAGTATGTGAAATCTTGGTTCCTCCAAAAATCTTTGAGGTGAAATGTAAAATAGTATCCACCACCACCACCACCAACAACAAATTATTTTGTGGGAAGGCAAGATTTTGAAACATTTTGGCTTATTATTTTTGCCTCCAGTACAAAACCACAAGTCTTTAAGTGTCCTTTATATCTTTGCATGGTATGCAGGAATGCAATGGTAGGAAATAAGAAGTTGGCAAAGAATTTATTTACCTTTTGTCAAAGAAATTTCAGAAAGATGACACTCCACACACACATTGCTAGTGTAATGGTGAAGTATTTTCACCACAAGTCTCTGCAGACTTGAGGTATTTAAGACAAAAAACAAGATAATGTGTTTCACATTCAAAAGCATGATAAAATGTAGCTTACAGGTAAGGTGGGGGTGAGATGATTTAATAAGTGGTGGAGTTTTAAGTATCTGACACTAAGTGCTTCAGTTTTAAAAATAACTCCAGAGGAACATAACCTAAAATATAGGAACGAGCTTTTTATCTAAGCAATATGATGTGTGAGAAGGACATTTTAACAAAATCCAGCTCTGCATACACTATATACCAGCCCTTGTGATTCACTTGCTGGTTTTGGTTCATGCTAAGGGCTCCTATTATTTTTCTACACTGTGGGGGAAAGAGTAGGTGTGAGGCATCATGTGAGTGGAAATATAGGAGGACAGACAAGATAGAGGAAGCAGAGACAGAGGAGAGCATCCTTTTGAAGTACCTATGTTGGATTTTTTATATAGTTTTTGTTAATAACAAATTAACAGCAAAACCACATGCCTTGGAAAAAAAGGGTAAGAAATGTCTTGCTGAGGCCTGAACTTTCCCCTAGAGAGAAGAGCCCTTGAGAGATGTGCTGGGAGCAGCAGCTGCTTCGGGTTGTTTGAACAGCCTCTTTGGGTTGAGATAAAGAGGAACAACTTCTCCCCTGCTCCGGATAACAGTGTGGCTTCAGCCTGTCTGCCCTGCAGAGACCTGGAGACTTCATTGCCTCCATTGGAAACTGTGTTCGAGGTCAAACCTGTTTGATCTATGAACTGAATCCCAGTTCTTTAGTTTATAAATAGCTTAAAGTAGTTACAAACATTAGTTAACAATTACCTTAGCTGAAATTGTAAGTACCATGAGAAATGATGACAGCACAGTGCTGTTTTTGGCTTCTTTCATGACTACTTATTTGAAGATAATGTAGGTAATAAATTTGAAGATTATGTAGGTAATACTTTGAAGACAATGTAGGTAATAAATTCTGAGATAACCCAGAAAGGGTGGGAATGGTCCCTGGGCCCACTTTTTAAGTCCTACTTTGTTGTCTTTCTTTCTTTCATTCTCTCTTCAACACCAAGCATTAGGGATACCCACAGGTTGTGTTGGGGCTGGCCCCCTACACCATCATATGATACACATACCTTCTCTGCACAGATCACAGACACACCATTCAACACAGAGACATTTACTGCAAGTGTTTGCAACACTGGAAGTGAACTAGAACTCTAAGCGCCATTGCAATCTTCAATCATTCATTCTAAAATTATTCATTGCACACTTAACTAGGCATTTATTTAAAAAATAATATATATATATATATATCCCTAAAAGAGATAATGACCCTCTGCCCTCACAGAGCTTGTATGCATGAGAGGGAGATTAAACAAACCAAAAACATTTAGACTGAAAAAATAAAGCAGGGCCAACTCTTTACAGTGTTCCATATCTGTAGCTATTTTAGACATGAGAAAGGTTCTTTACAGAAGTGACATTTGAGCTAGACCTAAATGACAAGAATCAGCAGGCAAACTACCAAGCTGAAGAAAGAGCTGTGAAAAACATGCAAAAGGAATAATAATTCTGGATGGAACTTGGCCACTTCTAGAAACTGTACGAAAGCCTCTGTGGCCCAAGCATGGTGAGCATGTGTTGATGAGGCTAGGATTAGAGTTAGGTAAGTAGTTTCTTCTAATGTAAGCGAAACTAGTAACCAAGTTTTTTCCAAATCAGAGGTGGGAAGTGAGGGATACAACGTGGGAAACCCTGGGTCAAACACAATTCCTCCTGGCCATCTCAGTTTCCCTGGCTGTTTACACCCCGAGGTTGTTTGTGCACTACGCCCTAGAGGAAAGAGTGACAGCTGGCGCGCTGGGAGGCGCAGGCAGCCAGATCCTCTCAGAGGCCTGGGCCGCGGGGCCTGCAGGGGGAGGGAAGCAGGGCTAGCCAGGAGCTGGGGTTAAGTCGGAGGCCGCAGGGGCGGGGAGCGGGGAGAAGGGAGCCGCCAGGAGATTGGGGTTAGAGGAGAGGAAGTGGTCTCGGGGGAGGAGGATGGCGCGCACCCATCGAGGGATGAGGCCGCGCCCTGAAGCGCCTCCCAGGGGCTCCCGGGCTCAGGCAGTTTGGTTCCGAAGGCCGGTGGGGCACTCAGATTTAGCAGTGGGAACAGACGCGGCTGGGGCAGGGGGCAGGGGGCAGGGGGCAGAGGGCTGTGGGCAGTGGAAAGAGTGCCAGGGGCAGGAGGTACTAGGGGAGTCTCGGCCACTGCGGCCTGACGCCGCTTCCCATCCCCCGGCCATAGTCCCATCCTGCGGCTCCCTGACCCCGAGATCCGGCACTGGGTCTTGTTCGCCGCCCCGCCCCGCCGCCCCGGGCCTAGGAGAGCTGTGTCCCCCGAGCGACCTCCTGGGGGAAACCGACTCTTCCTGGTCCGGACAGCGGCCGTGGCCGCAGGTCCTGTTCTGTCCTTGGGCCTCTGTGTCTGGGCGCCTCGAAGCGAGTCTGGTCCTCGTCGACCTCGCCGCCACCACGCTGCGCCACGCCCCGACCTAGCGCGAGGGACCACTGACTTCGCACGGTGCGTCTGAGTTCACGGTCCGCCTTTGGTGCCTACTCCATGGGGCGCGGGCCGTGTTCTCCTGGCGCAGTGCGGACGTCCGGAAACCCCGAGTGGGGAAGGGTGGGGCCTGCACTTCAGCTGAAGCGGGACTGAGCACAGTTTCGACCTGGCCTCTACGCAAGGGCGCGGCTCTCTCTGGCCCCGCCCCTCACTCACTCCCGCCTGCCCATCTAGGAGTCCGAGGGGGCTGGAAAGGGCTCTTCCCTCCGCCCTCCTCGTTCTTTTTGCAGCCGCCGAGAAAACCAGGAACAGCGGAGTAACGGAGCGGAGGAGCGGGCGCCCCCTCAACCTCCCGCGGCACCTCCCGACAGCCCTGTGAGGCCGAACTGGGCATGCGCAGTCGGCAGGGCCGCTCCAGCTAAGAGCAGGAAGCTCCGGCGCTCGGGTTGCGGAGCCGCCGCGGGGAGATGGAGCCTTTCAGCAGCGGTGAGCTGGTGGCTGCGGTGCCAGACCACGGCCCACAGGGTCGCGGTGGGTCGTGACACGAGTGTCAGGCCGCAGTCGCCCCCACCGCGGGTATCCCACGAGGGCTGGGGGCAGTGGGAAGGGGCCGGGCAGGCAGCTGCAGGCTCAGGGGCAGCAGCGGCCCGCGCGCGACCGGAGATGCGTGGAGAGGGCGCCGGGGCGGGCCGCGAAGTTTGCTCCGCCATGCGCCGAGAGGACCTTAGGGAAGTTGGCGGCCGGGTCGCCCTGCGTGCCCTGCCCTTCCCCGGGTCTCTGGTGTGACTTTTAGTGGGGCAGGGGAGGCACCTGCGGCCCCTGCGCCGGCACGGGCAGGCCGGGGTGCTTTCAGACCCATTGATGTCACAGTGCGCCGCGAGCTGGTCGGTGCTGCCTGCCCCGCGGATCGCCGCAGCCCTGCCGAGGACAGGGAGCCGGGCCCAGCAGGGCTGGGGTCGCGGTGTGTGTCTCACTGTTTGGCGGCCTTGAGTGTGTGGATTCCCTTTTAGGGTAGAAAGTAGGAAAACTGCCAACAGTGGAGACTACCCACTAATATAGGGGACTCACTGTTCAGTTGACTTGTGTTTTACTGCGGTGGTTGGTGACTTCACGGAGGTAGCGCTGTATAGGACCAGGTCTGTCCGATGTCGGGGTGGGTTCCGGCTCTGTCATGCCGGCCGGACTTTGCTGTGCGCTGAGCTTCCCTTGGGACTGCGAGCTGCTGTTCTGTTCTTCCTTCTTCTAATTCGGAACGCTTTATTCTGCCACCACCTTCCTATCTGTTCTGTTTAATTAGGCTTAATAGTGATAACTTTGATTCTGAATTTTCTTTCTCATTCAGATTCTATTTGTAATTACTAAGGCTCTAAGAATAGTCTGGTAGTTACTCGCAAAATTAAAGAAGATTCTAGCTGAAAGGAATGATAGAGATCGTCTAATACTTTAGCGTAAAATATGTTTCATCCAAATCGCTAAATCCTTGCAAGTGCACATTCCAAGACTTATTCATTGTTGTAGGTAGAATGCTTTGTTCTAGGTAGAACGCAGCATCTATGTTGGTAGGATTTTAAATAGACAATTTCACCTAAATAAAAAAAAAAGTCTCCACTGTGAGGCTGACTCATTTGGTCAAAATGAGAGCTAGCTGATTTGCTGGACCTTTACCTACAGAATTGAAGTATGTTCTCAAGTCTTAAAATTGGGATCTTTTCTTCCCTCATAGAATATGCTCCTCTAGGTATGAATATTAGCAAAGTGTCCCTTTTGGGGATCATTGGATCCTGGAGAAGAAAACAAAGAAGCAATACTTCAACTTTCATGTAGAAAACTGAATTTCTTATCCTTTCCTGTCTTCCAGATTTCAAATACTGAAGACAGTTTAGCAGTGCATCATTTTAGTTAATGTATTTATCATTCCTGGGAACCTTTAACATAAGACAAATAGAAACTACAACATTTAAAGTTAACAAGAAATTAGATGGTAATAACTTGAATGCTTTTTAGGTTTAAGGGAGATTGGATATTTCAAAACTTTTGAAGGATTGCTGTACAATTTTCTACTGTCCTCAAACATGGCACGGTATCATAGAAAGTATGTTTATCTTTGCACTCTGTCCTTTTAAAAACAAAGAATATGCATATATAATTCTTCCTTAGGCCTGGGTGTCCTGGTGCATAGTAATTAATTATCCATATTATTTATGATTGCAGAATTTATCAAACTTGGTATTGGATTTTGTTATACATTCATCCTTTTTTAATAAAATCTTTCCCACTTACACTTTCTCATATATCTCTGTATATGGAGAGAGGTGTGTGAGTTTAAAAAAAGACAATTTCAATAGTTTAAGACCCCATATCTTCAGTTAAAATCTTGTCAATCAAATCTCTGACCTATACACTTGTGAAGGAAGTGAATTTAGTTTCTGTCTTATCCTTCCAGCTTTTAATACTCATCTGTTCCAGTGGGGCTTTCTGTAGCCTATTTTCTGTTAAACATTGTTACTGGTATGATCCTTTTTCTTTGTTTCTGCTCTCTGCCTGTTGAATGTGTATTCATGTGAGGAATATCCTGTGTTAGGGTGTTTAGGTAACCTATTTAAAATACATATCTCCAGAAAAACCTTCAAAGGATGGGCCTCAGCTGACATGGGTTCCAGTTTAGCTCAGGAGGTATTTTTGTCCTTGCCCATGAGAGGGACTGCTGACCCTTATGTTGATAACTGGACATCCAGTCTGTCTTTGGCTCTTTGATGGCTTTTTTGTAGTGAGAAAGAGATACTGGCTTGGCCATAGCTGTTGTGTCCTGTTAGTAGGTTGAGGTGAAAATTGTTAGGAAGTAGTGATTTGTGCATTTAAAAAAATTGATGGCAGTTGTCTGGGTTGTTTTTGATAGAGGCACTAAGTCAAGTAATTATTTAATGTTTGTCTAGCTTTGCCCTCATTTGCACCCAGGATAGGGATATTTCAGAATAACTTAAGTTTGTTATTCTTGTCCTCAGAATATGATTGAAGAAGTCTGAGATTATAAAGTAAGCAAATTCAGGATTTGGAAACATATTGATAGAGAATATCAATATCTTTTCTTGGTATTATGTGTATATGTATATATACATACACATAATATATGCATATGTACATATATAAAATATATATATACTATGTATATACAAAAGGTACCAGAAAAAGCATACACATTTTAAGAAAGGGATAAACTGTATTAAAATTTTAATACTCAAGTCACACTTGACATCTGCAATTACAAGAGATACAACATATAATCTACAGGATGACAAATGTTATAGGTATATATTGAATATTACAATTTTAATACAGTTTTTTCCTTAAAATGTGTGTATGTTTTTGGCACTCTCTGTATATGTAAAACATAGATGTGTGTATATCTCTATGTATATGTGTGTATGTGTATGTGTATATGTATGTATATATATGTGAATATATATGTGTCTGTACCTTATGGTACAGTCTCTAGAGGTTGGAACAGCATTCATATTTCAAAGTTCCAGAAGTGGAAACACATAGATTGGCCTTTTTTTCATATGATCGTTGCTTCAATGAATCTCTTTATTACCACAGCCTGGTGTATAATCAAACAAGGGGGACTTTTCTGCCTTACAAAATTATTTTTTATTTTGTTTTCAGATTGGGATCCAGTTGAAAGTACTTTTTAACTTCCCAAATGGGAAGTCCAGGCAACAGATTATGTATTTGTGAGTTTTAAGTCAGTATAAAATAATGATTTTATCTTTTTATCTTACAAATAATCATTCTACAGGTATGCATATCTTCCTAAAAATAAAAGTGTTATTTCTCAAATGTAAGTTTATCACATTTTACTTATTTATTTAATTAAAAAAAATTTTTTTTTGGCAGGGGCTGGGTTTGAACCTGCCACCTCCAGCATATGGAGCCAGCATCCTACCCTTTTGAGCCACAGGTGCCGCCCCTATTTTTTCTTTTGTTCTGTGATAAATTACCACATTGAGAGAAAACTCTTAAGAAATGGAAGTTTATAATTTCTTTCTTTTTTTTAAAGATAGAGTCTCACTTTATCTTCAGTAGAGTGAGGTGGCGTCACAGCTCACAGCAACCTCCAACTCCTGGGCTTAGGCAATTCTCTTGCCTCAGCCACCTGAGTAGCTGGGACAACAGGCACCTGCCACAACGCCCGGCTATTTTTTGTTGCAGTTTGGCAGGGAATGGGTTCGAACCTACCACCCTCAGTATATGGGGCCAGCACCCTACCCACTGAGCCACAGGTGCCACCCCAGAAGTTTATAATTTGTATTTGTGGTGAATGCAAGTTAAATTCTATTTTTATCCATCTCTTGCAAGTTTTTTATTTTAGTTGAAGAAAACAAAACTATGTAAGAATTGAGTATTAGCATCATTCACAGTCTAAGGTTCAGACTTTAGCTAAAAACCAAAACTAGTTTAAATTGGAAACTAGTGATAGAGAAGTACTTTGCTAGTATCAATTTCCAGAAAAGAGTGTCTTGAGACAAGATTTAAAAAACAGCATATTTTAGAAACTATTATAAACCAGTGATTCTCATGTATCTGTAGGTGATTCTCGAGGACTCAGCCAGAAAGATTAGTTGTAAGGAAATTATATAGAAAATAAGTAAGGGTAATTTTCTACTCAGTAATTTAGTCATATACTATTTTTTGAATGACCACTTACAAGTAGGTTTTTCTGCTAGGCACAGTTACAGAAAAATCCACAATATCAGCTGATGCTTACCTGAATAAAAGAAATGAATTGAAGAACTTAGTTTTATCTCCATGCTATTATAATAATATAGAAACAGAAGAAATTTTAAACCAATAAAGCTTTGCCTAAGGCAATATTCTAATTATGAAAGAAATTTGCAGAATTGTCTTTTCTTTTTTTTAATCTATTTTTATTTTTTATATTTTATTTTATCATTTTTTTTTTTTTTGAGATAGAGTCTCACTATGTTGCCCTTGGTTGAGTGCCGTGGCATCGCAGCTTGCAGCAACATCAAACTCTTGGGCTTAAGCAATTCTCTTGCCTCAGCCTCCAAGTAGCTGGGACTGTAGGTGCCTACCACAACACCCAGTTATTTTTCTGTTGCAGTTGTCATTGTTGGTTAGCTGGCTCAGGCTGGGCTCGAACCCACCAGCCTCAGTGCATGTGGCTGGCGCAATAACCATTGTGCTACGGGCGCCAAGCCCAGAATTGTCTTTATAACCTCTTTGTAACTATATAACATCTGTTACCAGTAATCTCACATTTCCACTGATCTAGGAAATTTTCCTATTAGGAAATAGCAGCACTGACCCTCCCTGAAAACCTCCTTCCTCCCTGGGAGTTGAGATACAGAAGAATTTTATCAAAATTACCCATGAGACTAGTGCAATGGCTCCTGCCTGTAATTCTTCCTAGCTCTCAGGGAGGCAGAGATAGGAGGATTTTTTTTTTTTTTTGCAGTTTCTGACTG